GAATCTAATATTGTGTTTAAGGTAGGGTGGGGGTCAGAACAGATAAAGGAAGTTGAGAGGCCGTTGAGATTATCTGAGTGAGGAGGAAAAAGACATGAAAGACTTGAGGTAGCACTGACAGGACTTAGCTGGAGTAAGAAAAAAAAGCAGCAGAGGACAGACTTGTGGCATGGTGATGACATGAACTGAGAGAACAATGGACTAGGTTTGTGAAAAGAAAGTTGGCACATAAAATTCTTCTGCATGGAACAAAGTGTCTGGATATAATGGGCACAGAAAGAAATGGCCTATCACCCAGACCAAAGATGGAAGTACCTCGGGATGACCAGTGACTTCCTCCCTCCTCTGCCCACCCCTCCAAACTCCCCCCAACAAATCCCTCCACTACAAACTGTCATAGCACCTACAATTTATTAAGTCCTATCTCTAGACATGCCTCACTTGTGAGAATGAAAACAGAAATACATTTATTCAACCTAAAGAGTCATGTTTGAAGGACTCTTTCATGGAAGTCACTGTACCTTCTGGTGAAATAGAGGGATAATCCCCCAGTCCTTTTCCTCTAGGACCTTATGGTCTAATAAGGTAGTAAAACAGATACAGGTCATTCTAGTTGTAGGTTGAAGGGGTAAACGATGAGCTAGAAGAAGGTATAAGGTGCTCTATGAACACATACTTTAAAAAATGAAGGTTGGGACAGAATCTCAAACAGGAAGGGACAATGTAGAAGGGGAAGCAGACAAGAATGAATTTGCTCCCCACTTCAAATTCTGGCCAAATCATCCCCCAAAAGGGGGCTCTCCACTCCTGCTGCAAATCTTTTCTCTTAGGAAAAGAAAAATGCTCTTGAACTGGGTCTTGAAAAAAGTAATTTTGATGGCAAGAAATCTGGGGAAGGGTGGACATAGATGCAAGTCTATCTTCAGGGAAGAAAGAAGGCACTTGAAGCCACAAAAATCAGCAAAGCCAGGCTTATTAGAAAAATTCTAAGTAGTTTAGCATGGCTGGAGCATCTCACCTCCATGAAGAATGGGAGAAATCACTGGGAAGGAAGACCAGGACCCTGGCGCAGACACGGCGCCGCCAGGCACTGACAGGTGCGAGCCTGAGACCAAACTGCCGCCCCTTAGGAGCTTACGGTTATGACAATACAGGTGGGGAAGCACCACAATGTACAGAATGCAAAATGCCGACGGATTTAGGAGAAAATTACAGCTGAGTTTCAGCTATTAACACATTAGGATACCCAATAGCTTTCGGACAGCTAGTAGTAAACCCATCCCTGAGGGGAGCACAACATCATGTCCTTAGACAAGAGGCCCTGGTGGAACTAGGCATTAAGATAGTTCTAAGAAAACAGAAAAACTGGGTATTAAAACTGAGCGATAGAAGCAACTGAATAAGCATATAAAATGTGGCTCCTTCCCTTTTCTCCCACATCCTGACCTCTAACAGTCCTGGCTTCCTACGGTGAACCTAGGGCAGAGTAGTGACCCTGAAGGTGCTTTATGTTACTTCTACAAGCCAATTTGGGACTCTATGCTAATAAGCCATTCTCTGAGCCATCGATCTTTTGAAAAATGAAGGGCATGTACAAATTCTTTATTCCTTTCCAGCACTAACATTCTAGGATCCGAAGAATTCTAGAAGTCTCTCCTGCCTCTTATGGTTAATAATCAAAATGGGAAGAAAAACTTTAAATATCTGATGTTTCTCACTTAGAATTATGATTTTTTCCATATGAATCACAAACGATTATTCCATCAGCTAGGTTCCTCCTCCACCCATTCTTCAAAATCAAACATCTACCTATATAAACTTATTTGTAACATGATGCGTTCTACATAATCTACTTAAGTATACACTGAATTTTTAAAGAATCTTCTCCCCTAACTGCTTTATGCCAGTTTTTTAGTATACTGTCTTCATTTAAAAGAGCCAAATCAGTGTATACACACTTCATAAAAACATTTAAGAATTTATACCAAATCCAAAGTCCAACTGGTGACATCAAAGCTTGGGGGGATAATCAATAACTAAGGTAGTTAATTATAGCAATAGTTAAAACTGCCTACATCCAGAATGAGAGATATAATCATCTCTCTAATTACTACCAAAAATATAGGCAAACATCCCATAAGCAGGTTTCTGAAAAATAAATATTTATTAAAGTCAATAGTGAATTTTTGGTAAACATCCCTTAATTTGCTTTTTTAAAAGATGAAGACACACTAGATGGCTATATCCCTTAGGAATCTGACACTGGCCATATTCTGGAGTACTCAACATGTACAGATTTCTGTAACTGGCCACACATGGTCTATGGAAGTGTAACTGTTAAACTGATTTCCCATACTACTTTCCTCTTGTAGGGAACTTAAAAACAAAACGAAACAAAACAAACAACAGACTACCAGGTTCAAGTGGAAACTGGAGAAACAGAGACTGTCCAAGGTTTTCAAGGCAAGTCATATGATCAGAAAGTGGACAAGCTTAATTCTAAGCCAATATATAAATATAACCAAAATCAAAACCATGGGTTTTTTAGACCACTGCTAATCAACTTTTTACTCATTCAGGCCATAATGAGAGAGTTTCATAAAGCATGAGCAAATCAGACTAATTTCAGCATTAACCTGAGCTACATATTCACTAAGTAAGTAAGTTTTCTCTCATATGTGCTATCATTTCTTCTTTAATATAGTCTTGTAAGAGTTCATAAGCCTACCTATGGTCCCCAGAACCTCGATATCACAGTCAATACAAATCCCAAAGGTATTACTACCTTAAAACCAGAAATCTTTACTGATCTAGTGCCACATGGCCTTTACTTGATCAGCAACTTCCCACACAAAATGTTGCTAAATTTCTAACACATTCTTTAAGATTTCTAAAACATTTGTGGAAAATTCTAATCGTCCACCACCCATCTGTGGTATATTATTAGGCAGTTATCTGTAATCCCATATTCAAATAAATGTTGAAGTTATTTTTTTTACAAGGTTCAAAATTACGAAGTCATCTCATTTGTATGCAGTTCCTGCAGAAATTCTTTTAAGTAGCATGAACATGAAACTTCAAGTTATCTGTAGATCAGTAGATTTGACAAATGCAACTATTTACTTAAAAGGAACAAGCCACTCAGCATAAACAATGGTCTATAAATTTAAACCTCATAGAAAGATTATTTCCATATAGATTCTGTTTTCTATAAAGTGCCACGTTTCCCACTAAACTATTAAACTCTACAAGGGTTTTCAAATAAAGGGATGAAGAAAACTATCAAGGATGGCAGTTTTAAGAACAAAACACAACTGCTATAAATCCACCTGGATTAAGATATTATAAAAATATTGTTACCTTCTACATCCAGATTTCAAGGTTGTACTATACGTATTAAAACACAAGATGAGAAAAAAACCTAAGAACAAGTCATTGTTACTGTGTTACCACCATCTATACAAATCAAAAGGAGCCCTGCAAAATCCGTTGTTTCCTTATCTTGATTACCTTAAAGGAAATGGAAGAGAGTAATATTAACCTGCCTCTGAATGTTTTACAGCCTCCGGTCTCTGTACTGTATTAACTTATTATGATCGTGTCCTATTCTTCAGTATTATCACTCAAACGTAAACAGGTACACATTAGGGTTCTAGAGAAAAAGCATCAATTTTGGAGACCAATCTGCTCCTTGCTACGTGGATCACTTCAAGGCCTAAAATTTAACTGTTCTGATGCAATTTCCTCACCTATTACTTTGGGGAAAAAAACAGCACCTAATCCACAGGGTAACTGTGAAAATTAGTTTTCCACCCTAAAACCAAAGTGCAGTTCAACCAATACTGTGGTAGTAACCTACCCACCACCCAGAGCCAATCAGTGATTTTTGGATTACCCATCTCACCGTTCCCAGCAATCGCTCCAAAGTTGAGAACACAGGAATACACAAGTAAAGCCCAACCTCACCACAAAAGGAAACAAATGTATTTTATTAAGGCCCAAGATCTTAAAAGATGAAGACACACTGACCCAAACTGATCTTACTTAGCTAAAATACTCATGGGTGAAGGGGTGTAAAGCTCAGCAGAAAATAACTGCACACTGGGTCATTCTTACAGAAGAGAAGTTGTATTTTAAAACCCTGAAAAGGTTCAATGTGACAAGCTGACGCTGCCTATAAAAAATCTTGCCCTAACCTGTTTTCACTTTCTCCATGTGTGAATACACAGTATCCAGGGTATCATGTTTATTCTATCAGCAACAATGTAAACAATGATACTGGGATTCTTCACAGTGTTAACCATGATGCTAAATCTGACATATAAAGTCCAACCAATGCTATTTAAAACGCCACAGTAAGCATCCCATGCTGATGGCTTGAAATTACGTGAAGCAACCCTTTGTTTTCTAAGCTTAGGCAACAAGTTACAAGAAGCATCTAGCATATTGTTACTACCTCTTCAAATATTTCTTTAAAAACCACACATGGGTACAAATAAAGGAAAATGAGATTATCAATTCCCTGCAGATGTTACTTTAATTCCTGAAAGAGATTTCTATTTGCTAATTCATTTATCTGAGGCTATTTTTCATAGAATTGAGTCTTTACTCCAGTTGTCCCCATCCACCCCTCCATCCTCCAAGTATTATAGGGAATGAGGAATATCCATGATCTCAACAGAGTTTGCTTTATTTTTATGAACATCTGGCACTGTCGGCCCCACCCACTAAAAGCCAGATGTAGGACTCCTCTTCCCTCCTCCCCAAATCTCACCCATTTCCGAGTGTCCTCTAGGATGTATTAAAAGCCTGGGTTGAGAATCACTGCATCCAGTTGGTGCCCTTTAACTACTCAGTGGGAAAAAATGCCTAGTGAAATGTATGGAATAACATTTACTTGTGAAAAATGATTTCTAGATTATCCATAATTTATGACTCTTACAGTTACTAAAACTTAGTTTTTTTTTTTTTTTTTTTTTTCAAAAACAACTCCAGCTAAGTTTTTTTTTTTTTTTATTTCCACCACAGGCTTAATATAAGCTACAAAAGTACAAGCTGAATGTCTTCCAATTATCACTGGCCTGGGCCAAATGAAGTGGTTACCAAATAGTTATTTAAGCTGACCCAAAAAAAGCCATGTGACTCAGTTATAGAAGTTTCTTTATGAAGGAGATGTTGCCAATTTTCAAATATTTTAGGTACTGAGGACTGATAATATCAAACTTCATTTTAGTTTAAGACTACACCCTTCAGCAAACCTAGAGTTTCCCAGTAACAGCAAAACAAACATTCCTATTCCTACTCATATACTATCCTCAAACAGTCCTAATGATGAACACTATTAAGAAACGGTTAAGAAAATAAATAAGTTAAATTTGACAACCTCGTTGTCCTTCAATTAGTATGACAAGTTATCACACAAAGGCTTGCTTCACAAATGTGTAAACAAAACCTTCACCCACCTCACACACAGCACTCAAGAAATTAACATACTATGTAAAACGAATATTAGTCTATATTGCCAGGTTAAATTTTCTTCCAGAAATATTTTAATAAAAATTGGCCATTTCCAAGAAACATCCACTGCATGCCCATCAATAAAAGATAACCACTAACAAAATAGAAAATTTACCATATGGCTATGATTTAAAGAAAAAAAAAACGGGCACTCAAGCACAAAGTCCAATATTAAAGTCATATTCCTTTTTATGGGCTATGATTAGGATTCTGAAGAGATACCGAAATAAAACTTAATACAAATGGTGGACTATTTAGGTCAAAGGACCTCTATAGAAGCATATCTGTCCTTTAAAGGCATTCCAGTTTGAAACTCAATTTTAAAAATAAGGCATAACAAATGAACAGAACACATACCAGGTGAAAGAGGGATTCTTCAATCCCCAACATACTCTACACCTGATAAAACAAATCTAGACTTTTTTTTTTTTTAGTTTTTCTTTTAACAACTGCCAAGGCTGGAATCAAAGATAAAGAGAAGGCACAACAGTTTGCTCTGGTTTTGTGTTATTTGGATTTGGGGGTTTCTTTTTTGTTTTTTGGGTTTTTTTTTTTTTTTTTTACAAACACAAATTAAACATGAAAAACATTCTACTTCAAAAGAAATCTAAATCAGTTGCATTCTAGACATTTAAAACCTATCCCACAATTTAAATGGTAAAAACAGTAGGCTTATAATTGTTTTGTGATCACATATCAAAAGAAAAAAAAAATTCTACTAACACCTTTTATTCAGTTTTTAACCATACCAGCAAGAATCAAAACTGTCAATTTTTCTAATGGCAATTTCTACACACCAGAAGGTAGTTGTGACTCTCCAAGAAGAAACAATTTGGATTTTTCCTGCCTTCAAAATGTTTATCAAAACCTGTGTTTCTCACAGGCTTTTGAAACACATAGAAAATAAGAAATATTCCAATGAATGAAACATACCAAATGTCAGTAATAGCAAGACACATTCCTTTGGGGAAACGGCTGTTAAAAAAAAAAAAAAAATCCAGTCTGTATATGCAAAGTAAAGCAAGGAAATTCAGTCTTTTTCTCTTCTTTAAAAATCTGTTTTTCCTAAAATATCATTCCACAAAATTGGAAGTGAAGGACTAAAAGGTGAGGAAGAGGGAAGGGCAGGAGAGGGAGCACACATCATTAACACAAAAAGTAAAATTGTACAAACTTAAGCAGTTTATAATAGACTTGGGTCAAACTCCAGGATACCAAACGCTGGTGTAGTAAGAAATTCACCATTCTGCAGGAGCTAGAAGATTTGTACTGCTGCGTGAAGATCAATGAAGAGCAATTCACTGCCTTGGAGCAATTCCCCTTCCCACTCCAAATCCTGGTTTCTGCACCATGCCTCCACGGGGAGGGCCTCTCATTCCACCACCCAGCCCACCTCGAGGGCCTCCAGGTCCCCGCAGGCGGTTATCTCGACGGTCCCCTTCCCGGGCAGCTCGGGTCTTCTTCTCCTCGACATTCAGACGGACCTCACCTCTGAACATGATGGGCTGTAGGAATCAAGGTAAGCAGACTTACACAGGGCTTATGGGCTACCAACTACCAAATATAAAAGAAACAAAGCTATTACAAAGAACTAGCAGCTTACAATTCAGCTACATTCTCAGTTGTTTTTATTTCCAACTCAGAACAGGTAATATGCAAGCTAGTTCGAAAGAAGACAATTTACAACATGACAGTACAAGTAAGTCTCATTGCACTTTTTAGAGCAAATCTTATTTTCCCACAGAATGACATAAACAGAGTAATATAAACAAGAACTGCCACCTTCCCCATGGATTTGAGGGCTTAGAATAATCTTCCATCATCACCTAAGGTGAAGACTGCTGTACATGATTTATGGGAAGTACATATCCATCTTGAAACATCATTAATTTCATCTAAACAGAACTGTAACAAAATGCTATTTGCGTTTACTAAATTTTGGGAAATACTGAAGATTATAAATAAAGATAACAGAGCTTAGCGAAGGTAAAAAAGATAAATCCACACTATGTCTTGGGCCTTCCTTTTAGCCAAACAGATCTGAAGTAGAAAACAAAGTTACTCGAGATTCCAATGAACTCAATTTATGCTCCTCACTGGCACGCACTGGTTTTCTAAGTGACATATTTCTTTAAAGTATTTAACACTGCTTACTCTGCAAAGAAGTGTTCTGTATAGTTCACACCTACTATCTCATTTAACACTCACAACCATCTGAGGGCTATCATTACATCTACTTGAGAGATGAGAAAACTAAGGGCCAGCAAGGTTAAGGAACTAACCCACAGGTCACAACAACATGAGCGATGGAAGCTGAATGTAAATGAAGGCATCCTGAAAGGGAAGTATACACTTTACACCACAACGCTACACTACAGCCTGTCAAACACCAAGGTCATCAGTCTTACAGAAGCTATTTCTGTACAAATACAAAATTATTGAAGAGAGTATGGTAGGAGTGCCAACACAGTGAGAAGAGGGAAAGGCACGCTTCACCTGAAGCTCCCAAAGGACAAAGGAGTGATATGAAAGTACACATGAAGAAACCTGCATAATGGGAGGGAGGAGGAAGCCTTTTTTTTTTTTTTTAAGATTTTATTTATTTATTTGTCAAAGAAAGATCACAAGCAGGGGGAGCGTCAGGCAGAGAGAGAAGGAGGCTCCCTGCTGAGCAGAGACCCTGGAATCACGACCTGAGATGAAGGCAGATGTTCAAATGAGCCACCCAGGCACCCCAAAAAGGCCTTTTTAGAACTCTAATAGTAACACATTTAAAATTTTGATTAGGGGTGCCTGTGTGGCTCACTTAAGCAACTGCCTTCAGGTCAGGTCATGATCCCAGATCAAGCTCCATGTCGGGCTCCCTGCTCAGCGGGGAGTCTGCTTCTCCCTATCCCTCTTCCCCTGCTCATGCCCTCTCTCACACTCTCGCAAATAAAATCTTTTTAAAAAAATAAAATTCTGATGTATTTGTACTTGTACATTTATAAATGTTAATACTACAATATTAAAAATATCTAACTTTTTAATATTCACACTACATAAATCTCTTCACATATTAATCTGAAGCCCTGTTACAGGCAGTATTCTATATACAATGAAAAAATAAAACCATATTAAAGTCTGAAAGGTAAGGGGAGAGAGGTTGGGGCTGGGTATGTTTCAAAAGGTTGTAACTGAAGACATCTCTGAGGTGTTATCAAAAGGGCAGAAGCAATCTGAATGAGAAAAATGTACCAAACAACAACTCCTTTCTGAGTAAATTTTATTTCAAAATATTCTCATGCACAAAGATGTACGGGCTTATCTGGGTGCATTAAATGAAACAGACCCCTTACCTTGGACAACTAAGAGGCCAGTTACCAGGTCTGACCTCTTTTGGCCCACTGAGAACAACAGATCCTCTAAGGATGAATTCAAGCCTGCACCAAAAAGACTGGCCACTGGATCTTTTTTGCATGCTGAATAATGGATTTACGCACAAAGCCTATGAGACATTTCCAAGTTCAGTATTCTGTGGCTATGCTAAGATAAGCCGCCATTCTCTACTCAGAAGATGCTTCATAAAAACAGTGGTTGAATAGTTTGAAAGATAAAATACACAGTCACAGACTGAGGCTCACATAATGTTAGAACCACCACATTAAACCATGTACATATATAACCATCAACACTGTGAAGAACATCAGATTCTGTGGAACCTCTGGGAAATAATGATCTACATGGTTAACAAAATGTGTAGTTTTAATCTGCAGAGACTGAAAGATTAGTTGTTGCCGAGGGCTGAGGAGAGAGGATATGGGAAAGGACTGCTTAATGAGTAAAGATTTTACTTCTGATGAAAATGTTTTCTAGCAAGACAGGTTGCACAACAACGTGTAAGATTAAAAGCCCTAATTTTACACTTTAAAATGGTTGATTTTATGTTATGTGAATTTCACCTCATTTTTTAAAAAGATTTTTTATTTACTTGACAGAGAGATCACAAGTACGAAGAGAGGCAGGCAGAGAGAGGGAAACAGGCTCCCCGCTGAGCAGAGAGCCCGTTGCAGGGCTCGATCCCAGGACCCTGAGATCATGGCCTGAGCCGAAGGCAGAGGCTTTAACCCACTGAGCCACCCAGGCACCCCATCACCTCATTTTTAAAAAGTGAGATTTTTAAACTCTCACACACCCATCTCAGTAAATAAATATTTACACTTTTGTTCTTCTCTACTACTACTACTACGACTAATACTAAAAAGTGATTTTTTGCTAATGAAAGATGTGGGGGAAGGGAAGGGCTCCTTAAGAACTACACAGTAATAAGATTCCAATTCTACAAAATCCCTTATTATTAGAAAGTGACTGGTAAGAATACATCTGTTAATAAAAGTGGTTCCAGGCAGGCTGACTCCAACCTAGACAAGTCAGAGAATAAAAGGAGAAGCTCCTCATAGTTAGGCCCAGAAAACAGTCATATATCAAAACTGCCCAGAGGAAGCTGGCTCCTAAGTTACCCCCGCTCAAAGTTAACACTGTATTTCATCTCCAAAATCAGAAACACACTCAAGGAAAGAGATCTGCATAAATTTCAGTGCACTGGTAACTATTGGTTATTTCAATCTTTTCATTCAATGGCTCCAAAATTAAGTTATTGTAGACAGAAGTTTTGTTAAACTTTAAGGCAAGTCTTTTAAGAGTTATGGCCAATCATTATGGAATTTATTACCCAAACATGTGGGAACTAACTGTACTTTACTCCTAAGACACAGTTTGAAGGATGAATACATTCAAAGATCCAAGATACTCTTGTCAAAATAAAGAAAAAAATCAAGATGAAAAACTGCTTACCCTGTTGCTAAGGACCTTCTGAACAGGCTCAGAGTCATCAAACACAACAAAACCAAAATTGGGTAATTTCCCACCACTGTTAATGCGTAGCTCCACCACATTCCCATAACCTGCAAGAGAAACACAAATTCTCAAATAACTGATTAGAACACAATTCCAAATTCCAAAATAAGAAGTGCCACTAAGTATAAAACACACTGGACTTCAAAGACTTAATAAAGAAAAACAAAATCTCTCATTTTCACATGTTGAAATGTTTTAGATACATTGGATTAAATAAAATATTTAAATTCTCCAGTTTCTTTCTACTTTTTAAAATACAACCACTAGGGCACCTGGGTGGCTCAGTTGGTTAAGCGACTGCCTTTAGCTCATGATGCTGGAGTTTTTGGGACTGAGTCCCCCATAGGGCTCCCAGCTCCATGGGGAGTCTGCTTCGCCCTCTGACCTTCTCCCCTCTCATGCTCTCTCTCACTCTCTCAAATAAAATTTTTTAAAAAAATCTTTAAAAAAATATAAAAAAGTAAAATATGTCCACTAAAAAACTTAATATTATGTATGTGTCTTATGTACTTCTATCAGACAACATTGCATTAGATGAATCAAGTGTTTAAAACTCAACCTACTTAGGGCATCTGGGTGGCTCTATCAGTAAAGCATCTGCCTTCAGCTGGGGTCATGATCCCCAGGGTCCTGGGACAGAGTCCCAGGTTGGGCTGCCTGTTCTGCTTCTCCCTCTGCCCCTCCCCCGACTTGTTCTCGGTCTCTTGTTCTCTATTAACAAAATCTTAAAAAAAAGAAAAATGTATAAATCAAAAATAAATAAATAAAACTCAACCTACTTTGAAAAAAATCTTTAAGCTCCGATTTGTCCACTTCATGTGGCAGATTGCCAATGAAAAGTTGGTGACTATCAGGGTGTCTCACAATTCTTCGGGGCTCAACATCACCTTGCTCACCAGCTTCACGGACTTAACAAAAACAGCAATGAAAGACAGAGAAAGACATTTTTCAGTGACTATTTCATTCAATAACTTTTTTCTCCACCCCTAAACCCAGGTAATTCCATTAACTCCAAAATTTTTTAAAGTAGAAAATATCAACCACCCCTAAGAAACAAGCTCTCACACCTCGTATTGCCCCACCTAAAGAAGTCACCCTTCTGAGCGCTTACTTGGTCTAGGTCCCCTCTGGGGAGGAATATTTATTCGTTGTTCTCGCACTCTCTGATCCCTCTGAGGTCTCTGCGGTGGAATCTGAGATTCAGGCTTAGACTCCGGACGAGGCTGAAAAATGTAGAAGTCAGCTTCCATGTAAAAACAAAGCAAGCTGACCTTTTTTCTTATAAAGTTTCTTAGCTGACAATAAGGTTTAAAAGAGAAAATGACAGGGGCGCCTGGGTAGCTGTCAGCTGAACATCGGACTCTGGGATTCAATTCAGGTCATGATCCCAGGGTCCCAGGATGCAGCCCGATGCGGTGCTCCGAACTCAGTGCAGAGTGGGCTTGCCCGTCCCTCCCCTTGCACACAAATGCACACTCATGCTTTCTCTCTCAAATAAATAAATCTAAAGGAAAAAATGACAATTCTCTCACAAAATTACTAAAAAACCACCTCTTCTCTACTCTGTGTACCAGTTCCAACATTCTCTAAACCTACAATGAAACCTGATGACACGAAATACAGGCAAATGTGCCTAATATACAAGCTTAGAAACTCACCTGTGAAGCTGGTACTTTAACAACATGAGGTGGTATCCCAGTAACTGGAACAGCTCCACTGGGTGGAAGGTTCTTACTGGTCACAGATGCCCAAGAAAATGTCTAAAGGAACAAAAACATTAGTTGATTACCCATATCAAAAAAACATAAAAGCTGTTAGTTCTTCATTTCTTATATATAGTAATCACATTTTCACAGGTCCTATTCTCCTCCTACTTACAAAATTTAGTACTAAAATTCCCTTGGACTAGTCATCAAATACAGCAAAAAATGAAAGGTTTAGCATCTTAAGAAGCTCCTTTTAGGGTGCCTGGATGGCTCAGTCGGTTAAGCGTCTGCCTTTGGCTTAGGTCGTGATCCCAGGGTCCTGGAATTGAGCCCCACATCCGGCTCCCTGCAATGGGAAGCCTACTTCTCCCTCTCCCACTCCCCCTGCGTCTGTGTCAAATAAATAAAATCTCAAAAAAGCTCTTTTCACTCAACTTCAGGTTTGTGAATCAAAGAAAATTCTTCCCTCCAAAACCAGCTCTTCCTCCCGATTCCCCCAACTGATGGTACAAGCATCAATTCAATGACATCAACTTTCGAATTACCTTAACACCTTTTCAATCCATATCAAATTTACCAAATCTTCCTATTTACCTTGTATCTTCACTGCCACAACCTTAACCCCAGGTCATCAGTATTTCTCACCAGGACTACAACAGCACCTTCCCATTTCAGCCTACTTTTCTACCTGCAAGTTGAAGTCATTTCACATTTCTCTTTCCTACTCCCCTAATCGCTGCCAGAGAGAGACCAAGAATACTATGTTTTACCAATAGTTCCCATACCTAGAATAATGCCTATCACAGAACCACCTGAATTAACTGATAAATGGCATAAGAACCCTGATCCCACATATAAAGCATTAAAACATATTCCTTCATAGAGCATCAAATGTAAAGGTTCTGTGATTTCAGTTATCATCACCCTGAGGAGACTCAGGACTAACTGCAAAGTTTCAAATTTTTGAAATCAAGTATTCTAATTAGAAGAATAGCTACATTTCACAGTTTGTTTCTACTTCTACTGTAAAGTTATCCTCAATTAGATTTCAGGAAAAAAGCAGGAATAAGTCTATTGTGCCATGGTATTTTTCAAAAAGATACACTATCACCTACTGGTTTTAAGAAACAAGTTACGATTTGAAACAAAATATTTAAAAAATAAGAGGTTAAGGATATGGTGATAAAAGAGCATCTGAAATTTCTGCTCTAATATAAAAGTATTCAAGTTGCCTTGGGAGGGGAGGATAGTTACTTACATAAAATGATATACAACTTACTTCTTATCTGAGGTATGGCTTCAATATGTAAGAAATTTCCCTGAACCATAAAATGTGCCTACAAAAGCCAATGTAACAATAATAAAGGGAAAGAAAGATCTTTAAAAATAAACCAGAAACAGAGTAAGAATAAAGACACATTGCATACCCTCAAGTCTTCCTGTACTGTCTGAGTTATGTCTGTAGGTGCTGGGGAAGAACTCTTCTGTGCATCCTCAGGAGCAGTTTCTTCCAGTACTGGCTCGGACTTTTCCTCCTGGATTTCAGACACAGGTTCCTGTTCTTGTTCTGGTTCAGGATCTGGCTCTGGTTCAGCAACAGGTTCCTCTAAATGTTCTTCTAAGTCATTGCTTTCATAGGAAAATTTGAGAAATATCATTCTGCCTCTACTGATTTAGCAAGAAATTCCCAAGTATTTATTAACTATAGAGACCTGAACCAAAAAATAGCTCCCTCTCTCCAAAAAAAATCTAGGAATTCCATATCTGAATATTAAAACAAGACAACTTTTTAGTAGAGCACTCAAAGACCAAATCTTAACTGCAATCAGATTTGCTAAATTCTGATAAGCAAATACATCAAAATAAGTCGAAATGAACCAAATTATGATTTCTGTTACAAGACAAAAACTCTCACAATTTACCTACTACATATAACAAAAGATTAATAGGCTGTAGGAAAGGGGAAAAGAGTTTTCCAAAGAGTATAGTTGTAGTTTTGCGAGACGAAAAGTTCTAGAGATCTGTTGCACAATTATATGCATATAAACATTACTATACAATTCACTTAAAAATGGTTAAGAAGGTAAATTTTATATTATGCAATTTTTACCATCAAAAAAGCCTCTCATTATAAAGAAATTTTAGTTACAATTCAGAATACTAGCTCTTAAATCACAAGCAATGTTAATGTTGCAGTTTTCCCCCCTGAAATTCTAATTTGGCATGTTTGTGGTGGGACAGTAGATTATTTTCAACCAGCAACCCAGGTGAGTAATGTGGTTATAGTCCATCACCACACCTTGAGAAATACATAAAAATATCCTTTAATCACGAAATACTAACACCAACAGTTTCATATCACATGGTATCTAGTAGATACTCATTTCTATTCCTATCAAACAAATTTCTGTTCTGGATACAGAGGAAAAAACACAGCTTAAGACAGTCACACATTTAGTGTCTGAGTTAATTAATGAAACTAACTGCTATTTAATTCATATCTGAATTTTTATCAATTTATGCCTGATCTTTAAGTCCCTGAACAAATTTATGCCTCCCAAAGCACTTAATGCAATGCCTTCATGTATTAAATACTTGATAAGAAATCCCAAAACCTATTTTTCACTTACTGCCAAGCAAGTTATAGCATTTTTCTCAGCTCAGATAATCAAAAGCAAAACCTTTTTTCTAAGAAATTACTGTTCTATTCTGACATAATTCTGAGAGAATATGACTCCCCTCTAACAAAGGGGAAGACAAGACAACCAATTTCTCATGCAACTCCTGACAGATGAACAAAGTTTTTCTTACCTGACGGTCTGATCATAGAAAGTTCCAGAATCATCGGGTACCACCTCAGGTGTCTGCTGTCTTTCTTCAGGTTCCTCTACCTCTTCCTCAGATTCTATATAAGAAAACAAAATTCAAATAATTAGTGCTTAGTTAATTCTCAAATAGAGATGACCCTTGCACAAGAGGGTTTGAGCTGTGTGGGTCCACTTATACGCAGATTTTTCTGGACAAATATATACACTACAATACTATAAATGTATTTTCTCTTTCTTATAAAGGTTTTTAAATTTTATTTATTTTACAGAGAGAGACAGAGACAGATAGAGAGTATACACAAGCAGGGGGAATAGAAAAGAGAGAAGCAGACTCCCTGCTGAGCAGGGAGCCTGACTCAGGGCTAGATCCAGGAACCTGGTATCAGGACCTGAGCCAAAGGCAGACGCTTAATGAATGAGGCACCCAGGCACTCCCCCTTACAAAGATTTTAACAGTACTTCCTTTTCTTTACCTTAAGAATACAGTATATAATACATATACAAAATATGTGTTTATTGACTATTTGTTATCAGTAAAGTTTCCAGTCAACAATGGGCTATTAGCAGTTTAATTTTTGTAGAGTGAAAAGTTACACTGGGATATTCAATTGTGGGGGGGCGGGGACGTGGAGTGCTCCTAACCCCCATGTTGTTCAAAAGTCAGCTTTATATTTACTTTCACAATGCTCGTCATTATCAAAAAAGTAATGAGGTGGGTGGAAGAATGGGTTAAATATGTGTTGGGGATTAAGAGGTGTATATGTAATGAGCAATAGGATTATATGGAAGTATGGAATCACTTATCTTACATACGAAACTAAAATAAAAAGAAGTAATGAAATAAATAAAATAAAGCAAATGCTGCAATTTGGTGGTATCATGGCAAAGGCTCTAAGGACAGAATTAAGGCTATTACAGTGTTTGGGTTACGAACATGGGAGTCTGAGGTCATCCTGTCCATAATCCAATGCAGGCTCTACCACCTAACTAGCTAGACGGTATCAAGCAAATTACTTCTCGGCATCTCAGTGCCCTAATCCATTAAATGAGAACAGTACTTAAAGTACTTACTTATAAGCCTGTTGTATTACACAATAAATATAAAGCACTTAGACTCATTTCAGCCATATAGAAAACACTAATATACTGACTATTATTAGTGTTCAGAGACAATTCGTCATGGCTTTCTCATGTATCGGCACATCTTACAACTAGGGCAATGTTACCCTTTGTTACAAACTATCTTTTAAGAACATTTATATAGCAAACAGCCTCAGAAAAATAGTGTCTCCCTCCAGAGCACAGGGCAGGTATGTTTACTGCCCATTATAAAGATTTTGATTCCTTAAACTTAAGGTTCCACTCCTATAATGAACCCCACTCCAATGCAGGTATCATCTGGACTTCATGGTGTCCTGTGGAAATTGTGGCAAAAATGCTTAACACTGTTGCAGTGAGTAATTACCTATTACTAAGGAGTTTTAGGTCTTCCATGAAAAAAGCTAACCTATTAGTTCCACATAGGTTCAAAAACTCCGACCTTCCTCCATCTTGACAATTAGAAGTTATGAATGAAGAATATAGACTGTAATAAAAACATTCAAAAAACCCATACTCTCTTCAAGTCAACCTCATGCCATCAAAAAAAATAATAATTATTATTTAGACAATTAACTTACCCTCCTGAGGCTCAGTTACAAAGCCACCGAAGACCTCATCTTGGTATCTGAAGATATCATTGTGAACGTAGAATTTATTTGCAACAGAGCCCTGCAATGCCAACAAAAACTTTTCATTTATTCAGCAGACTTTCAAAAAGCCAAACCACCCTACACCAGTGATTCTCAGCTATGGAAAATATGCACCAACAGAAGACATTCGACAGTGTTTGGAGAGATTTCAGTTTTCACATGGGGAGTGCAACTGAAGCTTGAGAAGAGAGCAAGGGTGTGGCTAAACATCCCACAATGCACAGAACAGCCAGCCACAAGGAAATTATTCGCCCAAAATGTTACTAACACCATGAAAAACCCTGCTCTACATTATAGCCATTAAAAACCACAGTCAAATATATTGCTTCCTTAAAATACCACCAGACAAATATCCAAACATTAGTAAAACTCTAAGCATATAAGATGCCACACACCTCAAATCATTTTTTGAACAATAAATACATACTACCAACCGCAGCAGGTATTTAAAATTCCCTTAATCTGAATCCAATATTGATATAAGCACTCAATGATGGTACGGCTGAAAGGTTTGCCCACACTAGGCAGGAGACACATCAGAGTATAAATCCAACTATGTCATAACTAGTTACTCAGTGTCTAACACTGTCTCATTTGTTCAAAAAAAAAAAAAAAAAAAAAACACCATCTTACAGCTTTGAGTATTAGTATTTGCTTTGAGACAGTTCATGTAACAATGCTTCATACTAAGATGTTAGATTCTTCCTCTTTAACAGGAGAAGGAACTTTAACTGGAAATAATTGGTAATCATCCCACATGATTCTTTAAGTCCATCAAGTTTCATTCTACAGGTAATCTAAGACATCCTCTAAAATTCATGACTAAAAACCTGTAATTTTTCAAAAAGATAGTAAGTATATTCTAACAGTAAAAAGATTGGGGCTTTAGATTCATCACTCTAGGCAGAAAATTATCTTAAGGATAATGCTAGAGAAAACATCTAATTACTATTGAGCCACTTCCACATGCTTATGCAGATAGGTGCCCTGACTCCATTCAGTCTGCACCAGTCAGAAAGACAGTACAAATGTAATTACTCAACATAAACGTGTGGCCCTTTCGTGACAAGCATGGTTAACTAAAAAGAACCAGGACTCCTTGAAGAAATAGCAGATGCCAAACAGGAGCTGGGGCTGGAGCAGGGAGAATCCAAGATGAGACTGAAACATCTTGTTTCATAAAAGTTATGAAGTGGTCCCTTTGCCAAAACAAATAACAGAAGCCAGCTTGAAGGAGCTCAGACTTAATAGATCTGGGGTATTTTAGACATTAACTAGTGGTTCACAGACATTAATTAGTGGTTTAAATCCATGAAATAAACAAAGACTCCACAAATAACAGCAGATAGAAGGCAGAGTACTGTAAAATGCCAACTAATTAATACCAAATGATAGAAATAGATAATCACCATTTATTACCATCAGAGTAGCAGCTGACTCCAGCAACAATGATGCTAAAACTAGCAAAGTCTGATGAAGAACAAGATAGTCTCAAAGACAGCAACCACAATTTACTAGTAAGAAAAATAAAAATGCTACCTACACAGTGGCAAAACGTGGTGACCATCACCTTAACTTAGACATTAATTATTAACATCACTAATAGATAGGACTAAATGACATCCAGTGCCTTCCTAAAGTGAGGCACTAAAAGACTAATGTGTGTATAACCTAAATTTAATCATAAAGAAACAGACAATTCAAACTGAGGTAGTCTACAAAGTACTTTGCGCTCATTAAAAATGTCAATGCCATAAAAAACATAAAATTAAAGAATTATTGCACATTAAAGGAGACTGAAGAGAAATGACAGCCATATTATGTGTAATTTTGGATTGAATCTTGGACCAGGAAAAAAAAAAATACATTGGATATTACTGGAACAAACACCAAAAATTTAAATATGGGCTACAGAATCCTAATTGTATTAACATCAGTACTTCCTAAATTGGTAACTGTACTGTGGTTATGAAAGAGTATACCTTACACTTAGGAAATGCTCACTGAATTATCTAAGGATGACTAGGCTTGATGTCTCCAACCTATTTTCAAATGATTTTGAATTAAAATGACAGGTAAACAGAAAAAGAATTACAAACATATAGGCAAGTGCTGGCAGTGGTTCTAGGTAAGGAGTATGAATTATTGTACTACTATTATAACCTTTCTCTAAGTTTGAAATTCAAAATGAATAGTTTCTTAAAAGATATGCACAAACTTTCATTGTTTCTTTTTTCATACCTCAGGAGCAAGGACAAAAGTCTGCATGAATCTCCTCAAAGCCTGGTTGTTATTAGAGAGCAACCCCATCACCTGGACCACTACACCATCATTCAGAGTGGCATGAGCATCAACATGGCGAATCTTAGTGTGGCAATTGGTAAAGTTTTGTGACATCACTTTCCTATGGATCTCCTAAGGAATCAAAGCAAGAGTTAATGACTTATGTAACATTTACACAATTTCCAACAACAAAGAACTTCCTAATACAACACAAGTAGAGTTAATTTGCATACTTAAATTACAAACTACACAGCCCATACTCTAAATTTGCCTTAGAACAGTTCATTCCCAGTGACCACCTTGAACTTTTTAAAACTGTTAAACTGAATTGACATACCTAAAAAATGTTTAAATGAATGATCCTCATGCTAAAATAAAATACCTCCTAAACAAAAAACCTTCAGACTACAGGATTCAAAATGAACAAATATGACACTCTAAGCTTTCCAATGGCTATATCTACCAAATCATTTCGAATACCAAAATTTCTAAAAAAGAAATTTGGAAATTTGATCTTTTAAGTATCAGTAAATCTACCAAATACTTATCTGCCTCAATTGTATGGGTTATTTTCTAGTTGCATTAACAAGCTGCAGAAAGCCTGGGATGCTTACTTTCTGTCCATAGACAGCATCTGCTGGCTTTCCATTTGAATCCAATCCCCCATGGACATAAGAAGAGTTCTTTCCATAAAACCTGAAAAACAGAGAGACAATTTTCTTGTCAGTTTCAAGTAGCCTAAGACTAGATACTTATTTTTTGTCTGGTACCCACTTGCCTCAATGGCAGACTCCTGAAAGCAAGATGTGTTTTCTTTTTCATCTCTGTATAGAATCATAGATCTACCCCTTTCCTTCATGTCACTCAAGATTTGCTGAACAGAAACAGATTTGGTCAATGAGACAGAACACTTATTTTACAAGACGTAAGCTCCAGATTTCAGAGTAGGATGACTGTACTGGCAAAGATCTTTTAGCTCATGTCAGGAAGGCTACTTACTTAGAATGAAACAGAAGTTTCTGTTTTCACTCTAGAAGCCAACAGGCAGTTTGGATACAGGTAAGGCCGTCTATACCCTCTCACAGGCTTGGAGAGTCCAATCCTTCTATAGATCTGAGAATGCACGTGAGGGGTTTCCATGAAAAACCCAGTTACTGGACAGCTGCGTGGCTCAGTCATTTAAGTGCAACTCTTGATCTCGGCTGAGACCTTGATCTCAGGGTTCTGAGAGTTCAAGCCCCACGTTGGGCTCCATGATGGGCACAGAGCCTACTTAACGTGAAATAAAATAAAAACCCAGTAACTCATGCAGTTGAGGCTTAAAAGTAATTTAACAATTCTGCTGATGCATTAAGAACTTCAAACTTTAAGTTCCCATAGCTTTAATTCATCTATATCCTCAACTGTTTTGTTTTCATTTTAATACTGGATCAGGAAAACCTGACACAGACATAACCAAAAGTGCCACAATGCAGAGATAACTGCTATTAGAATTTCTTGACAGCTACACTACAGGGATACAACTTTTCACAAATGAACCCATACATGTCATTCGACATCCTGATTCTGCCTGCCCTCCCAAAAAGAAAACAGATTTGGGCCCACAGTTACCCCAAGTATACCCTGCAAATTTTAAAGTTATAAAAGGCTGTGAGTCAGCCAGTGAATCAGTTCACTGATGGCTAATCCACTTTTCCCTGTCAGAGAGAGAGGGCATTTAGATTGCACCTCACAAACACAAGTAGGGGGAGAGATGGGCAGAGGGAGAGGCAGACCCCCTCCTGAGAAAGGAGCCCAACGCAAGACCTGGTTCCAGGACCCTGGGATCATGACCTGAGCCGAAGGCAAATGCCTAACCCACTGAGCCCCCCAGGCGTCCCTGGCTAATCCACTTTTCATTACAGGCATTATCTCACAGACATTTCAAGTTCGGTTCCAGACCACAAGGAAGAGAATATTGCCAATAAATAGAGTTGAAAAACTTTTTTGGTTTTCCAGTGCATACAGAGTCATGTCTACACTATAGTCTATCAAGTGTGCAACAGTAATTCTATAAAAACAGTGCACATACATTAAAAAACACTATATTGCTAAAAATTGCTAACCATCACCTGTGCTTTCAGTGAGTCCCAATCTTTTTGCTTGTGGAGGCTCTTACCTCAATGTGGATGGCTGCTGACTGATCAGGGTAGAACATGCAGAAGGCTGGGCAGCCATGTCAATTTCTTAAAGACAACAATGAAGTTTTCCCCATCAATTGACTCGTCCTTTCACTAACAATTTCTCTACAGTGTGTGATGCTGTTTGAAGCATTTTACTCACAGAACTTCTTTCAAAACTGGGAGTTAATCCTTTCAGTTAATCCCGACATTGCCTTAACAACTCAGTCTATGTAATAACCTATCATGTTGTCATTTCAACAATCTTCACAGCGTCTTCACCGGTAGATCCCATTCAAGAAATCACTTTCTTTGCTCATCCATAAGCAGTTCCTCATCGGTTCAAGTCTTAAAAGTTATCGCAGCAATTCAGTTCCACCTTCCGGCTCCACTTCTCATTCTCTTGCTATTTCCACCCCATCTGCAGTTACTTCCGCCACTAAAGTTGTGAACCCATGAAAATCATCTATGAGGGCTGGAATCAACTTCTTCACTCCTGTTCATCTTGGTATTTTGACATCTTCCCATGAATCACTTCCAGTAATATAAGGCTGTTTCATCTACCCTGAAAATCTGTAGTGTGGTGTAGCTGCCTTCATTAATTCCCTTAGCTAGATCTGAAGAACTCGCTACGGCTTCCACATCAGCACTTGCTGCTTCGCCTTGCACTTTCATTTTATGGAAAGAGCTTCTTCCCTTAAACCTCACCAACCAATGCCTGCCAGCTTCAAACTCTACTGCGGCAGCTGTGTCACCGGTCCACCTTCACAGAACTGAAGAGTAAGGGCCTTGCTCTGGATTAGGCTTTGGCTTAATTTCCTTTAAGATAAATTTCCATTATGTTGTGGCTTGTTTAATCTTCAAACTACTCAAACTTTCTCCATATCCACAATAAGGCTGTTCTGCTTTCTTATTACTTGTGTGTTCATTCCAGTAGCACTTTTAATTTCAAAAACTTCTGCTTTGCACTCAGAACTTAGCTAACTGGCCCAAGAGGTCTAGCTTTTGGCCTGTCCTAGCTTTCAGCATTCCCTCCTCATTAAGCTTACTTGTAGCTTTTAAGGAAGAAACATGGGACTCTTCCTTTCACTTAACAGTAAAAAGCAATTGTAATAAGGTTAAATAACTGGCCTAATTTCAATATTGTTGTGTCTCAGGGAATAGGGAGAGAGATGGGGTATAGCCATCGGTTGAGGAGTCAGAAGACACAAAACATTTATTGAACATTAAGTTCATGGTCTTATATGGATGGGCATGAACCCCAATATAACTATAATAATAACAAAGATCAATGATCATAGATTACCATTAACAAATAATGAAAAAATTTGAAAAATATTTGCAAAATATCTGCAAAGCACCATAAAGCAAAACACAATAAAATGAGATATGCCTGTGTATCTAAGCTGTACTTCAGAGATAAAATGTGAAAAAAGAGGTGCTGGCGTCAATATATATCAATATTGACAAGAAACATATTGACTCATTTTTTTTAAGATTTTATTTATTTGACAGAGAGAGATCACAAGTAGACGGAGAGGCAGGCAGAGAGAGAGAGAGAGAGAGAGAGAGAGAGGGGCAGGCTCCCCGCTGAGTAGAGAGCCCGATGCGGGACTCGATCCCAGGACCCTGAGATCATGACCTGAGCCAAAGGCAGCGGCTTAACCCACTGAGCCACCCAGGTGCCCCAACATATTGACTCATTTAATTATCTTTCAACTCCTGCTCCTTTTCAAATTTCCAAACTTATCTAACCCAAGGGCACAAAATCAAATTCTGACATAAAACATAACAAGAAAAAAGGAAAAAGCTTTAAAACCTGTTCAATCAGTTAACAGTCATGTCAACACCAGCAAATTTTTAACCCCTTACCATCTTTATCTGCAAAATAAAGCTATCCTAACAATGCTTTACTAAAGGCTTTTGTAAAGACCTATAAGAAACACATAAAACTGGAAAACTATAAAGCCTTAAAAGAATATGAGGTATTTTCCATTTTCAGAGCAAAATTCAAAACAAATTTATAAAATTTCCTTTTGGACCCAATAAGCATGTAGTATCTAATACGCAAGCTCGTCAAAGTATAGAGGAAAACAGTCTGGTCCAGCAAATACACATTTTAGGAACTCTAAGAAATATTCTAGGAGCGCCTCAGTGGCACAGTTAGTAAATGTCCAACTGCTGGTTTCAGCTCAGGTCTTGATCTCAGGGTCATGAAATTGAACCCCACATCCAGTTCCACACTCAGTAAGAAGTCTGCTTAGGACTCTCTCTCCCTCTCCCTCTGTCCCTGCCAAGCACATGCACACTCTTGCTCTAATAAATCTTAAAAAAAAAAAAAAAAAAGAAAAGAAAAGAAACAAATCATTCTAACAAGTCCACGTAAGTAGACATATTTATAGTCCTGTATAATGCAAGACTGTTTGTAAGAGGAAATAATGGAAGCAACCAAGAAAAATTCATCAGTGGGGATTAAAGTATGCTACATCTCTGTAAGATAAGATGCTAAAATTAATGTTAATATATGCAGTACCCTTAAGGAGGACCCCAGATTATCAAGTAGAAAAGCTAAAAGACAGTATGTAAAAAATCTGCATATAGAGAAAAAAATTGCAAACATGGTTTTTACTAAACTTTCCATGTTTATGTCATAAACTTAATTTACAAGCCTATACCATTTCCACTGAAGTTTCCCCAATTTTCAAAAGCACATCAACACAACACAAAAGTATTATTAAAGGAATAGTCTTCAACACATTCACTAAATATTCAAGATTCATCAAAAACAGCACAAAAAAATGAACAGAAGCATAAATATACCTTTATATTCTCAGACACTGTTTTTCTGATAATGGGTAAGTTTAGGTAACTTAGTCTAATTTCTTTCTACTTGTATATTCTACTTAAAATTATGATTTTAGGGATACCTGGGGAGCTCACTCAATTAAGCATCTGACTCTCGATTTCAGCTCAGGTCATGGTCTCAGGGTCGTGGGACAGTCCTACCATGGGCTGCACGCTCAGCAGGGAGTCTGCTTGGGATTCTCTCCCTCACCTTTTGCCCCTCCCCCTGCTAGCACCTGTGCAGGCTCACGCTCTCAAATAAATAAATAAATCTTTTAAAATCTTTTTAAAAAATAATTTTAACAGAAATTATTTACTGGTTCTTATGTACCAAGCACTATTATGCAACAGCCCTACAAGGTGCATGATGCATTAAGAGACTCTAGTAGTATTAAGTACCCACAGGGTAAAAAATAATGTCTTACCTGTGTAGCATGTCCGGGGCCTGGTTCAGCAGCGTGTAATACTGTCTCACAAATTCCCGCCCGACCAGCAGGGGACTAGGCTTCTCCATAACCATTGCTTTGGTCAATTCAACCTGGGGGAAAAAAAATGTCAAGTATGTTCAAAGTGAAATATCAAGTACAAGGAGGAAAGTGGCAGGGGAGGAAATAGAATCATTAAAATAAAACTCGGGGTGACTGGGTGGCTCAGTGGGTTAAAGCCTCTGCCTTTGGCTCAGGTCATGATCCCAGGGTCCTGGGATCGAGCCCCAAATCTGGCTCTCTGCTCAGTGGGGAACCTGCTTCCTCCTCTCTCTCCGCCTGCCTCTCTGCCTACTTGTGATCTCTGTCAAATAAATAAATAAAATCTTAAAAAAAAAAAAAAACCCTCAAAGTACAACAAGGCACAACAACAGCTCTTGGTTTTAAAAAATAAAAACCGTAAGAACAAATAAAACCCACACAGACAGGATTTTTAGTCAAATTTATTGCAATGAGATGAATAGTGAGGGGAAGGGGACGATTCACGATCAAGAATTCATTATTCCCAACAGTCAATTTCTTCAAAATGAATATAAGAAAATCAAAGGTACATATTTCTAGCATGCACCCTATCGTTAACTTCTCCGTATTTTTAAACCCAATTAAGAGTGTTCTGTTTCTAAAATTCCAAACACATTCTTTTTTTTTTTTTTTAAGGTTTTATTTATTTATTTGTCAGAGAGAGAGAAAGAGCAAGTAAGCACAAGTAGGGAGAACAGCAGGGAGAGGGAGAAGCAGGCTCCCCACAGAGCCGGGAGCCCTATGTGGGACTCGATCCCAGGATCCTGGGATCATGACCTGAGTGGAAGGCAGCTGCTTAACCGACTGAGCCACCCAGGCGTCCCATCCAAACACCTTCTTATTTGTGGCAGTATTAGATTCAAGAGTGATAAATTTTGACACAGAGGCACATATGATCACATTTTTAGTCTAACTAAATCAGAAAATTTTTTAGTATCTTTAATCAAGAACCACAAAATCTAAAAATTCTGAGCTTACTTCATGATGACACCAAAAATAATGTGAAAATGGGTGAGTTAAACAAAATGTTATTACTCAACAAAATAATCTCAACACCTCAAAATCATGATGATTTAAAGTTAGTATCCTTATTATCTGTGAGTATTGAGAGAGGCAGCTGGCACACACACAGTAAGTCCTCAATTAGTCAGTCATTTTCAAAACAAAACTTTCTGGAAAAAATATCTGGCATGAGATAAAATCCAATTTTTCATTTGAGGAGATAAAATCATCCTGAAGTTAAACACACAGGTAAACAGAGAGACATGTTCAGATCAATGTCAGTATTTAAAAAACGGCAAGAAATTTTACTTCAGTTTTCTCAAAGGACGGGCAGAACAGACTGACTGGTCAACCCTGAACAATCTGTGGAGACCTGTTTATCCTTATCTAGTGCCCTGTATTATTCTTCACCAAAATCTAAGCAATTAGCTCAAGGCCAGTCTGTATTTTCTCCAGATTACAGGCACTAGATCAATACAAAATACCGTCCCAGTCATACTGGAGAGCAGTTTACCTGTAAGCATGGTTAAGAGAATATCAATAACAAGAATCTGGATCTTAGGTCTTAAACTAATGTACTTAGACTAAGGCAGAATGAGAAATTGTTATATTTCTTGTGTGGCTCAGAGTCCCAAAGGGGAAAATAAAAGGTAATTTCAGATATTCTTACTGATCCTTAATTTTTCAGAACTTCAAAGCTACGGATGGACAGTAGAAGATACTAACAGTCCTCTAAGCCTATGGTTTTCAAGTTTTAGTATTTCCCATTACTTCATATAAACCAGAGCAACTGTGCTTTTAAAATATATTTTACAGTTCCCATATAAATTTTCCTTTCTTAAAAGGGATTAGCTACTCTGAAAATCACTAACATCTGACCCAACCTCAAATAAAAGGAAAAATCCAATGTGATTCCATCACACTCCCAGATCCCACTTGTTTCACAAATGGAAGATAGCTCTCCCAATTCCTCAGAAACTGGTAGTATCATTTTCCTTCCATTAAGTTGTGCTTGCATATTTTCTAATACATAAAGAGGCTGAACAGAAAGTTTTGCTTCCCTCTATTATCCAAAATACATAATACATCCACAGTATAAAAAGCAATTTAAAGGGAACCTTCACAAGACAGACAAATCAAAGAATACAGTACACATTAAGCAAACCCTTATTTTTCTATTCCAGTTGCACTTACTTCTCTTGAGCACCATCTGCTCTTGAATTCCAGTCAGTATTACAAATGTCATTACCAGACCAGTAATATCAACCTACCTGCATCCTTAGACACTGCCAAACAGTCTCATTGTAAGATAAATTACTAAAAAACATTTTACCAAATATTACTTTCTCACCCAGTATTACTATGCAATATAATAAAAATCCTCCAGATTACGTATCAAACAGAAGAAAAATTATAATCTGTAGACCACCTCTAAAACTTCTCTTTTCCCCTCCTTCGAGATTACCTATGTAATTCAAATTAAAGGAATAAAGAAAGCTTATTGGCTTAATTATACCATTACAAATATTTTATTTCTGGTTATCCCCCTAAAGCTAAGAAAAAAGTAAAGCTAAAAATTTATATGCTAAATTGATCTCCATCTCATTTGTAGATTTTTCTTAATAGTTATTAAACTGAAGACAATACTAAAATCCCTATCATTTACCAAGTTTCCAACATTTCCTTTATTATCTTAATGGTTTAACATAATTGAGTATTTGGAGACATACATTAGAGAAATGTATGTAAAGTTGACCTCAAATACCCACCCTCCCAGTTAGGGGCAGACACCCACCCCACCCACAGTTGAAATTCTGTAACTTCTGACACCCCAAAAACTTAATCAATAGCCTACCGCTGACCAGAAACCTTAACCAGTAACAGTCCAATTATGCATATTTTCTATGTTATATGTATTATATACTGTGTTTGTAAAATAAAGCTAGAGAAATGAAAATATTAAGAAAATCATAAAGAGACAATACATTTCCAACACCATTCCGTATTATTTAAAAAAAAAAATCCATGTACAAGTGGACTCCAGAATTTAAACTCATCTTGTTCAAGGGTCAACTGTTTCAGGGTGATGATTATAAATACACAATGGAAAAACTATTCAAGCTGAATCCTGAAATTTCATAATTACATCATTTGTAAATTACACCTCAAAAATTCTATATAGAAAGTGCTTTCAGGAGTGCCTCGGAGGCTCAGTCAGTTAAGCGTGCAATTCTTGAATTTGGCTCACATCATGATCTCAGGGTGATGAGACTGAGGCCTGCCATCAGGCTCCCCACTCAGTGCAGGATCTGCTTGAGATTCTCTCCCTCTGCCCTTTCCCTCCCCCTGCTTACAGGTACGTGTGTACACCATCCTTAAATAAATAAAATTTTAAAAAGAAAAAGAAATCCTTGAGGGAAAGATACTAAACATGACCTTCAGTTTGCCATTTTTACTGAACCATCCAAGTCTAAGGAAAATCTGAGTGCTCTAGTTTAGAATAGTGAAAAAATATTGAGATACAATAAAAAGAACCCCCCTAAATTTCTTTAACCAATTTTCACTGTGAAAAATTCTCCAAAATCATTCACTTGCTTTGCTCCTGGGCTATAACTTAATCTCTGTGCCCCCAGTTCTTTCATCTGAAACTGAAACTGTAACAGCAAGAACTGTCTATTCAATAGTAAGCACTGAATGTTACCTATTAATATAAAATTAACTAACTCTAATTAAGGAAAGCTTTTCCACATTCCACCCTTTTCTGTCCCCGGAAGACTATTTAAGTATTCTGCTAGCAGTACTAAAATACAGGATTCCTGTGAGAATAAGAATTTTTGTACAGAGTACCTTAGATGCCCAAGCACTTAATGTAACAATAACTTTTCAGAGAATTTCTAAGTTGACTTGATGATTTTTTTCAAAGATTTTATTTGTTTGACAGAGAAGAGAGAGCATGCACAAGCGGGGGGGCAGCGAGGGAGAGGAAGAAGGAGTTCCCTGCTGGGCGGAGAGGAGAGCCCAACCTGGGTCTCAATCCCAGGACCCTGGGTTCATGACCTGAGCCAAAAGCAGAGGCTTAACCTGCTGAGCCACCCAGGCGCCCCTATTTTCCTTTTAAACCACACTATTTTATTCTAATGCTAGGTAAACAAGTTGCTGAACTAAAAAGATTTCTGAAACAATCTTTACTCATCAAAGCCATGAGGAGTATTTTCCTTGAGAAAAGCTACTAGAAAGTAAGTCAAAATGTTCATCTCACTTTAATCCCAACACTAGCAAACTAAAAATAGAGCACTGTGGGGTGGGGGAGGGTTAATTTTATCTTACGGAACTACCCATGCATAAACTGTATTAAAAAATTAAAAAATAGCAAGACGTAAAAAAATTTTTAATTTAAAAATTAAAAATAAAAATAAACATAGCAAGGTGTAAATATGCAAAACAAACAACTATAAAAACATACATAAATGAAAGGAATAAGAAGTACTCACCTTTGTAATGTTATGGGAAGTTACATTCTATATAATGTATATAATGGAGTGCTGTGGCAAAAACAATAAAATTGGGGTGCCTGGGTGGCTCAGGTCATGATCCCAGGGTCCTGGGATGGAGCCCAGCATCCCCAGGCATCCCCGCTCAGCAGGGAGCCTGCTTCCCCTCCTCTCTCTCTGCCTGCCTCTCTGCCTACTTGTGATCTCTGTCAAATAAATAAAATCTTTAAAGACACACACACACACTAAAATTCATATACCTCTGTACTGCTGGAATGTCCTGGGGAGAACATGCATTATTTTTAAAGTAAGAAGAAAAATGCGACAAAAGGTACCAACATCCAGTAACTAGTGGCACGTTAGTTACCTTAGTTATCTTACCTATTTTAGCTCTCTTGAACAGATCCTTAAAATCAGTTAGAACTGTAATTTCATAAACTAACTCCACTCTGTGATTTTTAATTAGTATGAGTAGGCTACTTCACAAATCTGAGGACCATACAACATCTCCCTCTATTTACTAGCAGGCAATATGGATG